GCTCTTCCACATCCTGCAGCTGTACTGAAGAAACAGATGAAAGAAATTAATGGCATCGCTAATGCTGAAGTTTCATACAAGAAATTTCTAATAATTCAGTAATATCCCATATAGCAGTAGAAGGCAAACGAAGCAATCAAAACACAGATCCTTGCCCATCTAATGAGGTAAAGTTCTCTTCTGACCCTACGCCCTGAGCAAGAGGGCGTATGAGAAACAGAGATACCACTACACATCTTAAGTCTCTGCCACATGCCCTGCTTCCTGTGCTTCAGAGGAAAGCCAAATTAGTTGGGAGCCAAAGTGTTCATCAAGGAGGCAAATAATCCCTGCAGGTAACTAGAAGGCCTTCAGACAGTATAAACATGATTCAAACTCATGCAGCCAAGGTGTTTGGAAGTCAGGATCCATATGAAGATCCCTGGAAATACCACTCTACCAGATACCACAGATGCATGTCATTAGAACAACATTTCATCATCCAGGATTAATTGTATAACAATTTCTTCCACAAGTTTAATCAAGCTCCATCTTGAAGCTAAGAAATAGGTTGAAAAATAATTACTCCTTTTAATTAACTCGACTTCCCATAGCAAGTGTCAGATGTACTAAACTAAAATATTTCCAAGTGAAGATATCCATATTTAAGAAACACTTCTTTTTTTTAAAAAAAAAAAAAAAGCTAGCCACTCTTTTCAGTTCTCCCGGGATAAAATTTGGCCTTTTCTACTACATAGTGTCAGTTCCGTCTGGGATCACAATTGTGATTGAAATATTAGTGGTAGAGAACAACGATCGCCTGAGAGAAGATAATACCACAAAGCCACAGCTATTGCTGCCAACCTGAAAAAAAAGCCCACCTCAAAATCAAAAATCCTTTTTTTGGTTTTTGTCTCTTGGAGCCACTACTGTTAAGTGTAACAATATACTACACTTGATTCAATGCTATTTGGCTTCACTTTCAGTGTCAATACAGGAGCATTTCATTAGAGATAGAAGTGTGTTTTCAAGACTAACTATGGCACTTGTTTATGTCACAAGCTTCCCTTAGTACCATTTCTTGTTTGCAGAAAATGGAAAGAAACAGTGTGCAAGAACATGATCCCTAAATTGTACTCTTTATGAGCTGCTGCCAAAAGAATGATGTCCTGTGAAAGGTGTAACAGTGGACACAAAACTTCAATAGAAATAGAAGATGTTTTAAGAAAGAAGAGAAAAAAAAAATTAAAAAATACTCATACATAAAACAAAAAAACTGAGCTTTGAAGTTCTGGTTTTGTTCAAATTAATGCACTATATTAATTATGCTTATAAAGTTGAAATGGAACAGTAGGGTTAGGTTGTAAGACAGGTTTTATACCTGAGCCCTCACAAGTGTGAGATCCCCTTCACAATGGCAGAAAAGCACTCAGAACACCCATGACTGGCAAAGAATTTATTAAAAATTTTATATGGTTAAAATTCAGAGAAAAATCCCTAAGTTAAATACTGTAAATCATCTAGAAACCTTTACAAATTGCAAAGAATATTCTTTCATTCAAAGCAGACATTTACTCAATTCCCCCTTTGACAAGTTTAGAGAAGCAGGAAAGACGAATGCCAGGGTTAGACCAAGAACTAACTGGTTTAACTGGTAACTTCAATTTTGAAAGTTCATTATTTTATAATTAAGAAAAAGTGCATCACGAACAAGTCGTTTCACTGAAGTCAATTCTTTCTTTCAGCATAAAAACAGCAATCACTGCCAACAAAAACACATGCTGTAAAATTTCATTTTCCTCATCTCCCAAAACTCTAACATCTTCAGCCAAGCTATTTATTTACTGCTCCCCAGAAGAAGATTCCATGAGGATGAAGTAGCAATCACAGATACACTCTCAAGGGTAGGAAGCAATTCCTAGACATGTCTGAAGAACTTTCATTTAAAAGAATGACAACTTACCTACAACAATTCCTCATGTACAAGGAACAACACATCGTATACTGTGCCAAGTTTGCTTAGGATATTGCTGCAGCTGGAGAGGTCAAAATGCAAGGCTAAGGACAAAATTAGAGAAAGTTTCCTCACCTGCAACTGCTGTTGCAAATGGGTAATTTCTGCAATTCTCAGTTCTCTAGATTTATTTGTGCTTTCAATTTCTTGCCTTTGGGTAGACAGCCGACATCTGATATCCTGAAGCTTTCCTTCCAACTGATTTTTTTTATCATTCTTTAATAGAAGAGAAAGAGAGAGAGAGGGAAAAAGAAAAAAAAAAAAATCAATCTGTTTTTTACCAGAATGGTTTGTCATGCAAGTCAGGATATAAAAAGTGGGTTTAGTCCATGTTCAGAAGTTGAAATTATAGAAAATAACCATGACCGTATCACAGTATCACAGCCACTACTGTGCTTGTGTGTTTTATCTGCAATGCGATCACTTACTAGAGCTTCCAGTTCAAATTCTAAGGTCTTCTTCTTTGCCTTCAGAACAACTATGTCCTCTTGTTCTTTGTTTCTTTGATTTAGTAGTTCTTGCCGACGATTACGTTCCCACTCAAGTTGCCGTTGTCTCTCAAGCTCCCGTTTTGCAGCCTTTAAAAAAAAAAAAAAAAGAGATCTATTTTGAGAAACTATTCTAATCACTGATATTCATATTCTAATATGTGAGTAAAACATTCATATAAACACACTGCTAAACTGTGGACTAAATATGTGCCTCACCTTAAGCACACAAACTCTTCTATTGTTTAAATGAACACTTGAAAGCACTGGTGAAATGGGGTTTCATTGTGCAGCGGACAGGTGACTAAACAGAGTATCAATCCATTTTAATCAGTTTCCCAAGACAGAATTTTCTGATTTAACAAGTTCTTTCACATTAAGACTTCAAGAACCCTCCAGGATAGCATGAAGTCTCTCTCCAACCTCCAACATGAGACATTCTGCAGCACTGCAAACAACAAATGCTACTGCACTGAATCCATCGTTAATTGGCAGTGTGAGAAAATAACAGCTTTTTAAGTTAACCAGTATGTGTTTCCTTAAATAAATTAACTCATCACAGGAAAACCATGAATGCCACCAATGCCCTAAGTTTTTCTTCATTCATTTAAGCATCTCTCTCTAACAAAGATGATGATGATTAAAGTTAGAGGTCAGGAGCACATTGTGATCTAATGTCTCACCAATTCATTCCTCATGAAAAATAAAGAGATAGCTGACTCTTTCCTTATCTTCAAAAACCCAGAAATTTAAGTTCATTTTTAAAATGTTTGCTTACTAAAAAGGACAGCAAAATATTTAGTGCACACATTACACTTTGTTCTAATAAAACACAGCTGCCACTGACATAACCATCTTCCTTTTATCCAATTAGTTACCTCTCTTCTTTCTATTTCTTTCCTCCTTTCCTCTTCTCTCTGTCGTTCCAATTCCCGTTGTTTTTCCAGTTGTTTCTCTAGCTCCAGTTGTCTTTTACGCTCTTGCTCCTGCCGCTCACGTTCTTTCCTTTCCTGCTCTGCTCGTTCCAGCTGTGCTAGACGCTCTTGTTCTTTGCGTTGCTGTTCCAGGAGAGCCTGCCTCCGTTTTTCAAGTTCTAGATTGCCACGTTCAAAGTTCTCACGCTTTTTATCTTCAAATGTAACTTTAATGCGTGGAAACATGGGGTAAAGGAGAATTAAACTTTGTTACTGACTTTAAAAAAAAAAAAAAAAAGCTACGTATGCAGAATCAAAGTGAAACAACCTCCCAACAGTACTAGATGCAGCTCTCAACTGCTAATAATACAGCTCTACAAGTAATTCTGGGTTTTATAATTTGCATTTATATTGTAGATCCCCTTAAACCCACATCCTTAGGAAACCAAGGTATGAATTTCAGATCCCGTTTCTCAGTCTTCCAGGTTCCTCCACAAAACCCAGCAAGTGGGTATAATTTAGACAATTCATTCGCTGTCTAATCCTTTCTGTGGACACAGGATCTGGAGTTTCTCTATACATTTGATAACAGAAGTAGTACAAGAACCAACACCGCAATTACTACAAGTAAAGCAAAGAATTCAGCTATGATATTATCAAAAAGCCATTATGCAAATGACCAGAATGTATTTAAACTTGATATTCTCATAAGATTACTTATTACTGTCAGGAAAAGAAATGACTTGTTTAAGTTCTTGAGCAGCTAAACTCAAAGGATTCCAGATCCCTGCAGGTTCACATCCTCATCACTAACTGGCTTAAAGGGATGACCTCAAATCCAGCACAGGTTCCTTGACATTCTTCTGCAGTATTATGGATTCTCATTACCCTCTTCCACATTCTTAGGCCCCTCCCTCACAGTTTCCCCAAATTATTCTTTCCACTTCACCGTCTGTTTCTTTTTATACCCTGTACGTCCCATTCCCATACCCCATATTCTGTATTTATCTCCCAACATGTACATTTTTGGCATGCAAGCCAAGACATAGCACATACTTCAAAGTGTGCATGCACTAACCATGTGTTTTTTAGCCTGACATCTGCTGAACCAGTTGAATTCTCATCTAAATTTGGCCCACTTTACTATATTGCCAATCACCAAATTTCATAAAACTTGGAAAAATATAACCACTTTAATGTCTGTCAAGTTTGTCTAAAATTAGCCACTGGGCTAATATATTATTAATAAAGAATGTTGAGATAGAGACTGAAAGACAGAGGATGTGATTATAAACCCCACTGATTTAGGAAACCAAGCAAAACAGAAAAAAAAAAAAGAGTAAAGAGATTTGTGTCAAGAAAGTTGGTTAAAAGGAATTGGTAGAAGGGCAAAACGCTTGCAAGCAGCATGGACGTTAAGATACCATGTTCAAGGCTCAGAAAACACATACCACTAAGAAGAAACACCAGTTTCTAAACATGGTTGCCCAACAGCCCAGTATGGTTACTCAGCGAAATCAAGATAGCTACCGGAGATAACAAAACAAAGCATATCCAAAAGTACGAGAACAGAAGAAAACAATGTGTAGCAAATGAAATATTGCCTTGTGTTACTATGCTTAAGGGAAAGCTTCTAAAAAGGTTACAAAAGCCAACAATAAAAACTCTTTCAAATGTCTCAAAAAAAAAAAAGTCACCAAACAAAACAAACCCCACCTAGCCAGATGCAGTAAAGGCAATAAAGAAGCAAGACAGCATTCACTACTATAAGCGATCTTTACAAAAGAAATCTATACATCAAATACAGCAAACGGCTTATACACTCTGGTTCCTGTTTAACTGAAACCAGAAATGGCGCCAGAACAAAAATAAAACCAAAAAATGAAGAGTAACAGGTTGCCAAACCCATACAATCCTAATCCACAGTTCAAATAAAAATTCATGTAGTACGAGCTGTGCTGTGCAATCCACCCTTTAATCAACAGCAATGCTGTAAGACTAGAAGATGACAAGTGCAACACCAGCCTTTAAGAAAAGGCAGTATAATGATCCTGAAAGCTACAGACAAGCGAGTCTACTCCCACGCTGGGCAAAGTAGCAGAGGCTACAATAGACAGAGCATTAGTTAGCATACATGACTAAATGTGATACCATGGAAGAACCAACACAGGACAGAGCTGCCTCTCAAGTCTAATAGACCCAACTGTACCAATAAGCAAGTTGAGAAAGAAGGTCAGGTCAACAGAAGAATACTGAGATGATTTCAAACTCTAATCAAGAAACTAAGCCAAGGCAGTGCAGTGGTTGATCTTCTTGACACTACAAACTCCATACCAAAATCCTCTGATTCCAGAGATGTAACACTTAGGCCTCAAAGAGCCAATATAGGAGAGTCAACTCTCACCTGTGACCAAACATCTCATGGCAAGACCTCAGTGAGGTCTCCTTCAGCAGTCCCTGCTGTCTCCCTTCATCCTCCTACAGCCAGGAACTACCCAGCAGACTGACAGCAGCAGTTAGTTACAAAATACAAATCAAGGACAAGAGTTGTATCTGAATTGCTCGCACCCAGATCCCCTGAACTAACCTGGTATGGAATGAGACAGAAGGTCCTTGGGAACTAACAAACAATTAAAAGATTAGAATTAAGGGGTGAAATAAATTGCCAACTTTCACAATGACAGAAAGGTTCTCAGTAGCCTCCTTCAAAGATCTCTACTAGCAATTGTGCTGTTCAGCATGCAACAACGACCTGGAAGAAATTGGAAAGTAACACAACAACTTCTGGAGATGATGCCAGATTGTCACAGTATTAAAATAAAAACCTGACTGTGAAGAGCTTTAGAAGAACCTCACAAAGCTGAGTGATCTGGCAATGAAGCAGCAGAGGAAATTCCAGTGTTCATGAATACAGAGTAGTGTACATGGGGAATAAAAATAATCCTAACTAAATACACACAGTCATGAGCTCTAAAATGATTAATAGATTTTTGGAAGGATGTTCGCATTACTGTAGAAAGTCTTCTAAAACATGGACTCGGATCTCAGCAGTGATCAAAGAGGCAATACAGTGTTAGGATTCAGTTAAAAAATAAATAAAAAGAAAAATAGAACAAACCAGTAAAGCATTATTATGGCACTGTATATATCCATCACATTGCTACAGCTTCAACTGTGTGACATTCTGCTCACCTTAGAATAAAACACAGCAAAAGTAAAGAAAGCACAAAGTCGACAGAGGATGATCAGAAATGTTCAGACAATTCCTAACATTTAGCCATTTAGCACCTAGGAGGCTTTATCTTTTCCTCCCCACCCACCCCCCACTCCCCCAAAAGCACAGCTGCTAAAGCCTGTATAAAAAAAAGCACATAGAACCGCAATGAAACAGGTCTCTGTCTGTATATTGTGATCTTTCAAAGAGTACAAAAGTCAAACTACGCTCCACCTAAGTCAGAAGATGGAGGTAGTATAAAGTTTTCATTGCAGTCCTGTAAGAGGGCTGCAAAATGCTGCCTCTGTTGAGAGTACAGAAAAGAGACAGCCTGAAAAGTGTTTGTATCTCCATTGTCACTACCACAAAGGATCATGCAACAGTCAGGAATTGGTTGGACCAAGCACCATCTTGGGTTATGCCTCAACATGTCACAAACTGATGTGGAAAGAAAACATTTCTTAGGAAGTCTTTACAACTCCACAGCACATAACATGATGGTAACACCTTTCTGATAACCGTACACAGTATGTCTCTGCTTTTGCTTGCTCACCTGGTAATTTCTTTTCCAGTTGCTGCTGTTCTTCTTCTAATGCTGGTTCTTCTGGTAACCTTTGGTCTACAGATACTGAACTTCCAGCAGATATGCCACTACCAGAGCGTACTCTTCTGTCAGTAAAACAATAATTCCAAGTTACTTAAAAGAACCTATGCCTGCCAAATATATTTATGATTTAATGATGAAATCATAAATTGAAAGTAATGATGTAATGCTTAATGATATTTAATGTTCTCTCAGTGTTGCTCAGAGGATTTCACTCAGCCACTGCCATTAAGATAACAGTATCCTCCAGAGTCCCAGCAGCACGCACTAGTGACCTAGTTCAAAGTTCATAGCATCATGCAAGTTACAGATGTATTCAGCCCTGTCTCTGTCCCCAAGATCTCCTGCTTGTGACCAGTCTGAAGCTGGAGAAATGCTAACTTAAAACTACAGCAAAAGTTGCAAAGACAGAGGGAAAACTCACTATAGTCAAGCTAGAAACAGGACCCACACAGAACAAATAAAAAAATTGTAGTCAGAAG